CTTGAGTTTCTTGATGGCAGGGCACTGACCCACTCCAGGGGCACCAGGAGGCCATGCCGGGCACCATGTGAGTATCCCACACTGCACAGCTTTCCTTTGGAATATGCTGGAGGGGAGGAGCCACATTTCCCTGCAGGTGGTCAGAGTATGCTTCTTTTTCACTGTCACATATAAAGTTACATACTTCCTTCCTTCCCCATTCCGTTCCCCACTGGGACAGGGTAGAACATGAGATCCTCTTTTGAGGACCTCAAAATGTGCCCTTGGTTCTGATCAACCCAACCTTCCCATAAGACTCTCTGTAAATAATCTCATTTTACTGAAAATGGATAAAATATCTGTGAGATAGTTTCAAGAATTTTTAACTCACGGGGGGGGGGGTGTCTTTCCTTTTTTCATTGCTCTGCTTGCCGTGCTTGCCCATGTGCTTGTATTTGTAATGTAAACTGAGATGACTGTAGATTCACACATAGTTGTAAGAAAGAATGGGGGAAAGCACATTTAACTCAACCCCCGCCACCACCCCCACCACCCCCACCCCCCGCCAACATAACATTCTGCAAAATTCTAGCATAGTGTCAGATCCAGGGCACTCATCTGGATCAGACTCCCCTATCTTGTCCATCTCCCTAGTTTTGCTTATACTCATTTGTGCTTGAACTGGTACTTAGCTCTACAGAATTTTCAGAGCTGGGTAGGCACCCCACAGTCAAGATCCAGAAGAACTGCAGCACACCGCGGCTGCATATACTGCTGTTTTACAGACACACCCAACTCCCTCCTTCCCTTCCCTCAAGTCCCGGGGCCACTACTCTGCTATTCATGTGGCAAGTTTTGCCAAGTCCAAACCACCATATAAATGTAATCATTAGTGTACAACTTTTTGGGATTGTCTCTTTTCCCCTGGCCTAATTCTCTAGAGCTTTGTTCAGGTTCTTGTGCTTATCAATAGTTCCTTTCTATTGCTAAGAAATATTCCATTAGTGTGGCTTTACAGTTTGTTTAACCACTTGCCTACTGAAACACATCCAGGTTGTTTCCAATTTCTGGCCATTATAAATAGAGCTCTGGTAAACATTTACATACAAGTCTCAGTGCAAACAAATTTTCATTTSCCTGGGAGAATGGCCAAGAGTGCAACTGCTGGCTTGTGTGTTGAGTTCTGTAGGAACATGTCAAACTTTCCAGAATGGCAGCACCACCTAACGTGCCCACGAACAATGTCTGAGAGACCCAGCCTTCCCAGGACTCAGTGCTGTCACTCTTTTGTGTATGTGGGGTTGAATTTGCATTCTTCTGTTGCCTAATGATGTTGAACAGCTTTACATTTTTTTTTTAACCATCTGTTAAAAAGAAACCCTTTTGGTGAAAAATGTGTCATGTATTCTAGAAACAAGGTCCTCTGTCATGTATGTGGCTTTCAATTATTTTCTCCTGGTCTATTTTGTCCTTACATCTTCTTCAAATGGTCCTTTGCAAAGCAAATTTTTAATTCATCAATCTTTCCTTTCTGGATTGCACTTGTGTTCTCAAGTCTTTGGTGTCAACAACTCCCTGTGTCCTGAAGTTATTCTCCTGTGCAATTGTTCTGGCACAGGAGAATAATGTATTTGCCAAGACACTATTATTATTGTTCTACACAGTACATATTCAGTTAGCTACATAAAATTTTTAATCCTTTCCAAACTTATCTTCATATTCGGTGTAATCCTAATAAAAATTTCAGTAGAATCCACATGTGTAAAGTTCATTTTAAAAATAGCCATGGAGGCAGAGGGCTGAGAATCCACAAGGCATTTCTAAAGAACAGAGACCAAAGGAGAAGGTGTGCTCTAGTGATATTAAAACAACACTATAGTAACAGTTTGCACTGTGATCGGGAGATGAGTAAACCCAGAAAATACAAAACAGAACCCAGAACAGATTCCCATGTACAAGACAGCTGATTTGTGAATAAAAGTCATGAAGGATCAATGGGGAAAGGAAATATGGCAGGCGCAGGGGTGAGGAGTACAACAAAGGATGCTGGGGCAACTTAATATATGCAAGAAATAAAACCTGAAAAACATAACATGAAAACCACATAATATGGAGTCACCAAAAGCCAGCACTGTTTGGGCTGGGGCTATAGCTCCACATGCCCAAGACCCTGGGATCAATCCCCAGCACCACTTAGAAAAAAATTAAAAAGACAGCACTATTCATAAGGGCAGAAAGCTAGGAAAAAACCCAAAATGTCCACAAGCAGCTGCAATAACACATAAATAGGGAATAGCCATACTGCAGGACCATTCTGCAGTGTTAAAACCAGTAGGTTAACAGAAAAGAGACTCTTAGAAGCATAATACTGAAAAAATAAACCAAACCAAAAACCCCAATACAAATGATATAAACTTCTAAACAAAGGTGAAGCTAGATACATGCTCAGACAGTGTAACCATAGGGAAAGGAAATCACCAGGAAATCAAGATCACGACTAACTCTGGCGAAAGTAACTAGGGGAGAGTGGGGGACATTTCTGAGGGTGTGAGCCTGTCCTAATGCCTTCACATTTTATGCACCTGTATTCACAGTAAATCTCTCTGAACCTTGTTTTCCTTATCTTTAAAATGTAAGGAAAATAAGCCTAACCTTTCTAGACCATTTTCCATGAGTTTGGCAATTTTTACTGGCATCTTATCCAAAGATTTGAGGATTAAAAAGATTACTATGAGCCAAGCCACACAAAGTTAACATGTAGTCCAGGATCTGGGAAGAAGCAGCCTTGGAAAAATGCATATTTTAAATAATCTAAGACAGGGTTGTTGCTTTGACCTGCTTTAGCTTAAATTTAATTTGAGAAGCCTGATACATACTCTGCCATAGAAATGCTAGGTGTACATTCTTGTTTAACCACACCATAAGAAACCAGGAGTTATTTAAGAAATAGTCAAACCTACTGGCAAACTGTTATCAGAACAAATAATATGGCAAAAATCAAAGCTGTTGATTCTGGGAAACACTCTTCAAAACCGAAATGAACAATTTATATACATCACTCAAAAGAGTTCTCTATTTAGCCATTTGGAGATACTTAATATACTTTTAAAACATCTCAACATTAGACATTCTGCAGGAGTCTTAAGTTTTACTGTAGCTCAGGTAACCAGCTGATACAACTTACACTCAACATCTGTCCTAACTAAAATTATCCATGCCACAGAATTCTGATGTCTCAACCAAGTGCTTGTCCAAGCACTTGACCAGATCCAGAGAGAATGAGCAAATCTCATCCCAGCCCAAAGGCTCTTCCATTTAGATCTGGACAGATTCTCTCTCGGCAAAAATACAAATCATGCTCCAAAATTTTCAAAATGGCTTACCAACTTGTTATCTAGATATCTAGATCCCAATGGATGTAGGTAGATGCTTTCTCAATCAATAAAGAACAATTACACTTATGGAATTTTCCAGAAATTGTCCTAATTTGCCTGCACTCCAAATATTGCAAACAACTACCTAAAAGGAGCTGGTTAAATATTCATTCCATAGGTTATCCAAGTTTTTACCTTGAAACAGATTAAAGAACTAGAAAAAGAGACTGAGGTCATTTTCCAGTAGAAAGACTTTATAAAAGTCAGAACTCTCTCAGTGCAAACAAATTTTCATTTCCGTGGGAGAATGGCCAAGAGTGCAACTGCTGGCTTGTGTGTTTTATTTGGTTTTAAAATTTAAAAAGCTATAAGAAAACTTTCTGCAAGTACCATGCAACCATAACCTGCTATGTTTTGCAACATCTCTTATGTAAAGGCATGAATGATGAATTTATTTAAAAATTTAGAAGAAAAGTTTCTCTTCCAAAAAACTTACTAGCTCCATTATCAGAGAAAAAGATCTATCACTTCTTTTCCCCTTACTCTCTGGCATAGTATGCAATATTTAAATCTAAATTTCTTCTATAACACAAATCTCATTCTAACCACAGAGAATTATTTCTCTTCTATCTTAATTCCATTTTAATTTTTACTTTGTTGCCTTTATTATAAACCACAGAAAATGTCCTTTCAGACTATTTAAATCATTTATTTAATTTTAAATACATCATAGGCAGTAACATGAGAAGGTCACACCTAGAATGAGAAGGCCAGTCCCACTCCATGAAGTCAGGACACTGGATACTTTCTAAATCTGAACCTTGACTTCCCCTGAGGATAAAATAATTAAACTTTATCAGTCATGCCACCAGACAACATGGTTCTTGAAAAACCAATGTTACCACAACAATGGCACTAAGCAATGACAAGCATAATATGTGGTAACAGTCCACAGGAAAGGAAAAAAAACTTAGCCATAAAATCAGAGGGTTAGTGAAGATACTTCTACTAGCATTTTCAGCTCTGAAATTCTAGATCTGATATGTAGTGGAGAAGACTGAAATAGGTTTCATGGTGGTGTAGGAACCAGGTGTGGCAGGAACAACAGTGCCATTACCAGATCACACTTCCTATCTTATGTGTAATATATTTAAACATGGCTAGGATGTCAAGTAGAAGGATAATACAGATTAAATCTATAATACTTACACTCCTAAAGAAGCTCTCTTCCCAATAAACATTGATGCAACATCTGGATTTAGTGTTTCACTCACTGGCCACACTCAGCAACTTGTAATCTGATTTGACCTCCACCCCGTCAGACCCACAGACTCACACATTTGCCACAGACTGGCAATGTGCTTATTTACAAGACTCTGATACTGCAATGAGTTTGCTTTATAGATAAATATGAATTTCTAAAATTATAATTCACATAGCTGAGGAGTTTTATAATCATTGGACTATTGACCTACCTACAAATAAGCTCATAACATACATTCAGTTACATTTTTAAATATTGGTGTATTTTTAACTAGAATTTAATTAGGATATTTTAAAGAAAATTTTAATTAGGATATTTTAAAAAATAATAAAAATATTATTCAAGATTTAACACTGAAATCATTCAACTTAAAAAGCCATTACCTGCAGTAGCCCGCCATCATCAAAGCGCAGCACTTCTATTATGTTCTCCGTAGGTATGAACGCTGTGAAAGAAGCAAAGTAGACATCACTGCCAGGAAAACTCAATTTTAGTAGAATCTTTTACCTTAAAATCAACTTTTACGATTTTACATTTTAAAATACACTTCTTGCCCTAGGGTATAGCTCAGAGATACAGCACATGTTTACCATGTATGAGGCTCTGCGTGCAATCCCTAGCACTGAAAACAGCAAAACAAAACAACACCATAGCTTGCTGGTTAAAGAGGATAATACTTCATAATTTAAGCAAATTTGAAATGCTTTAGAATAAAATATAATAATAAAGGAGTTTCAATAACCTACTGGCTGTTTAAGTGCCCTTCATCTATTCCTGTTATACTGTGAGAAAGCCCAAAATGATCAAATCCAACTAGATGTAGCAAGTTATTTTCTTTGACAGATTACCTGAACTGATCGTAAGTACATGAAAAACATCACTAGAGTATTATATCACACCACCACCCCCCCATCAGCTGAAATTCTGTATCCTCTGTTCTTCTGTAGTGATGACATGACCTGGGACTAACAGTCAAAAGGAACTTGATAGGGAGGTGGGTGAGGAAAACGGCAAAAGCAAATTAACAATTCTAATGTCCCTGAAACTGAACAACTAGTTAGACAGATGGTAAACAGTGGGAGCCAGGTTTCCCGTGGTTGGAATGAGAGTTTACAGAGAAGCAAGGGGAGGAAGCTAGAATGATACATGTGGTAATGGATTAGATTTGGTGACATCAGCATGAACTCATGCTTAGGCAGATACAGACTGTCAAATATAGGAATATTTCTAGATGTGTATATACATGACTTGGTGCGTGTGCGTGCACACATGTATGCGCGCGCATGCGTGCACACACACGCGCACACACACACACACACACACTTCCTTGCTTTGTTGGCTAAGAAGGCCTAGAAGCAATAACACTGAGGAGCAATGAGCATCCCTACCATCCAGATCTTGGATTCCAAGACAATTCTCCAATCAAAGGCACCAGCTGCTCACAAGGTAAGAGACAAGGCAAGGGAGCCAGAAGCTTCCCACCTGGTGACCAGAGGACACCAATAAGAACTAGAAGAGTTCCTGTTATTAGAGATTCAATCCAGTGACCACCAGAGGAGTTACTACCATCCAACTAGACCAAACCTTGATCTGACTGAGAACTTCACTCAATTAAGATAAGATAAAGATAAGATAAAGAACACTGAAAATAATATTGTTATGTTTAATTGGGAGCTTTTCAAAAGAATTGTATCAGCTGAAGAAAATGAACAGCACAGCTATTATGAAGTTCTAAAAGGAAGAGTGTTACACCTCATCCACTTTCCTTAAAGAGGCAGAATAGGATTCAACTCTAGCATGAAATAAATTAGGATATTTTGCTTTAAATGATCAATTATTATAACTTTAAATTATATACCTAGAAAGACAGAGGTGTCATTATATATGCACTTAATCATTTCATGTGCTGACAGTTATTTTTAAAATTTTTAATTTATTTTTGGCACTAGGAATTGAACACAGGGGCATTCAACTACAGACCCACATTCCCAGCCTTTTTTATATTTTACTTAGAGACAGGGTCTAACTAAATTGCTTAAGGCCTTGCTAATYTGCCTAAGCGGTCTCTGAATTCATGATCCTCCTGCCTCAGGCTCCTGAGCTGCTAGGATTACAAGTGTGTGCAGAGGCCTGGCTGTGTTGACAGTTACTAACTTGCAAGATATACAAAGTAACCAAAGCAAGTCCCCACTTCTCTAGATTCAAATTCACAAATGACAGCTGTTTCTTCTCCCCAAAATATTTCCCTAATTTTATATGCTTAATGAATCTCAAACTTTCCCAATGTTTTGTGGTTCAAGCAGCAACCAGATGTAATAAAGAAAAAAACTAAAAACTATTGATCACTATTTCACTAAACTTCAAACTAGCCCTATGATATCTGTTTTACAGATACCACAGTAAGGTTTTTAGAAAAGAAGAATGAAATTGTATTCAGCAAGAAAGTCGCTGCAGATGGACTATGAATTTCAGCAATGAGATCCCAGAATCCACACTTCTAAGTCCATTACTAGTTTCAAAGTAAACTTTACATTAATCCTCATGACTAATAACACGTTTGAGAAAACTAATTTTTAAAATAAAGCATATATTTCTGATAAGTAGGGAAAGAAGGACTTAGGAATAAGTGACACTTATTGTTCTGCCTTTTATGATTCCAGTGCTATTTATTCTCATGCAGTTCGGGTCACAAGCTCTACTTTAAGCTTCTCGTGCTCCCACACACCACTCGAGTCTGAGTGTAAGATTCTCAATGTGTCAGTTGTGTAACGACACATTTCAAAAAGAGAAGTTATGTCTGTTTACTTCCCTATTGCATTTATTAAAAAATGATGCAATAGGGCTGGGGTTGTGGCTCAGCGGTAGAGTGCTTGCCTAGTACATTCGAGGCCCTGAGTTTGATCCTCAGCACCACATAAAAATAAATAAATACAGGTATTGTGTCCAACTACAACTAAAAAAATAAATTTTAAAAAATGATGCAATAAATGTGTTCTATATATGTAATATGAATTGTAATGCATTACAATATATAAATAAAATTTATTAAAAAATGATGCAATAAAAAATATGTTCACTTTAAAGGCAAATCTTTCTCTACCATAGTTGTTGGAGGGTTTTTTTGGGTGAAAACTTTTTTCTGAATATTGCAACCAACAACTAGATATAATCTGCCTCTTAATAAATTGCTAAAAATGATTCATGAAAACAATAAATGTTGTAAATAGCGGAAACAGAAATCACATGGGGGGCAGACAATAGTAACCCAGGCTGCCACGGTCTTTACTCTGACTTCCATGGTCTTTCCCTCTAAGGGGAAGAGTCTAGATCAGTTAAATCCTCTACAAAAAACAAGAGGAGAAAGGGCCCCCAAACCCTGAGGTCAAAGACCCACCTTGCTCCTCTCAGGGCCAGAGGCAGCTGAGCCACCCCCACCCCAACTGTTCCCAGCAGTGTGTTAGCATCTATTAGGGGCCCTGCTTTAACCCTCATCACAATCTGTAATAATTTTATTAATCATTTGTGTTTAGCCCATGGTTTGAAAAACGAAAGATAATATTGGTTAAAACAATAACATCATGTCAGAATTTACCATTGTTACTGATATTAATATCTCTTTTACATTTATACTTGCTCAAAGCAAAGTATACCCACAGAAGCATAAGGAAGGAATAATACAGGTTGAGGTAGAAGTAAATTAAACAGAGAACAGAAAACAAGAGAAAATGAAACAAGAGAAAACGAAAACGAAACTTAAAAAAAATGATCTTTTTTTTTAAGATCAACAAAATTGGCAAGACTAACCCCACAAACCAAGAAGAAAATGATGAATGAAATGGGATGTTACTACTAGCCTTAGAGAAAGAAGCCTAACAACCACACAGAAGAGATTAAGAACACTATGCACAACTATATACCAACAAATTAGATAGCCTATGTGAAATAGACACATAACTAGAAAGACACAAACTACCGAAATTAACTCAAGAGTAGGAACTCTTAGACCTATAATGAGACTGAATTGGTAATCAAAGTTTTCCCCAAATAGTCCAGAGATAAATGGCTTCATCAATGAGCCCTATCAGACACTTAAAGGAGACCAGCAATCCTTCACGAATTCATCCAAAGAATAAAACACTTTCCAATTTATTCTATAAAGGCATTAATACCCTGATACCAAAATCAGACAAAGTCATCAAAAGGAAACGGAGCCGGGTACTGTAGTGCACACCTATAATCCCAGCAGCTTGAGAGGCTGAGACTGGAGGATCACGAGTTCAAAGTCAGCCTCAGCAAAAGMAAGGTGCTAATAAGCAACTCAGCAAGGCCCTGTCTCTAAGTAAAATATAAAAGGGCTGGGGATGGGGCTCAGTGGTTGAGTGCTGCTGAGTTCAATCCTTGGTACCCAAAAGAAAGAAAAACGAAAAGGAAACTACCAATCAACACTCTTTATGAATATGGATATAAAAGTCCTTGACAAAATATAAGTGAACAACACCCAACAACACATACGAGGATTGCAAAAACAAATACAAGACAAAAGAAATACACATTAAACTATAATGCGTTGCTGAAAAGAATTAAAGCTACGAAGCACTTGAGATGGCAACACTCCCCAGCCTGATCCCCAAAAGCAATCTGTCAAAATCCCACCTTGCCTTTCTGCAAATCAACAAGCCAATTCTAAATTCCTAAGAAAATTCAAGAGCAGCCAAAAGAATCTTGAAAAAGGACACAGTGGAGGACCAGGCACTGTGATTTCAAAGCTTAATGGCAAAGCTGTACTGAGCAAGGCAGTGAGGTACTGGTACTGAAGGGGAGACAGACTTGTCGGTCAAACAGGAAAAAAAAAAAAAAAAGAAAAGAACTCTTGGAGAAATGTAAATCAAAACCCAAACAAAATCAGACTGCACACTAGAATGGCTACCAAAAAAAAAAAAAAAAAAAAGAAGAAGAAGAAGAAGAAGAAGAATAGTGTTATCAAGGGTGTGGAAATACTGGAGACTCATAAATTGCTGGTGGGAATGTAAAATGGGGTAGTCACTTTGGAAAAGTTTGGCAGTTATTCAAAAAAGTATATACAGGCCTGCTCACCTAGCATGTGCAAGGCCCTGGGTTCGATTCTCAGCACCACATAAAAATATGTAACAAAATAAAGGTATTGTGTCCAACTACAACTAAAAAATAAATATATTTTTAAAAGTATATACAGAATAACCATATTATATATGGATTCTACTCCTATTCATGCAAGAAAACTAAAAACATGCATACAAATCTGCACATCTATGTTCATAACTCATAATAGCCAAAAGGTAGGGAAAATCAAACAAAATATGGTGAATAATTTTTTTCCAGGAATAAAATTACAAGAATGATGAAACATACCACCACATGAACCTTGAGAACTAACGTTAAGTGAAAGAAGCCAGATATACAACACCA